CCACTTAACTGTGTGCATACACAGCACATCGGAGCCAGAGAAATTTGCCTAGCAGTACCCATAGAGGAATGGGTTTCGCACCTCAAGGCCATACCCTCTCCCTCCCCAAGGCTATATATTGCATCACTACCACCACCCTTCCTATCCTTCTCCTCTATCAGTTCTTAGTCACTGAACACCTTAACCTGAATAAATGGAGCAGTGTCTTCCATTTAGGTGACTCACAAGCAGTTCCCTCCAAGAAGCAGGGCTTGGACTCTTCCATAACAGGGACTGTGGGACTGTTCTACCAAAGCTTGCATCTGCCATGGAAGGTGAAGGTATTATATAATGGTTTGGGAACATATGTATCGGCAATCACATAGCAGCCCTGCAAATGTCCAATATGGAAATGTCACTAAGGAATGCTATGGATGTGGTTTGCACCCTTGGAGAATGAGCTGATGCCCACTTAGGGGGCATAGCTAAGGCTATTTCATATGACATCTTGGTGCAGGATGTTATCCATTTGGAGATCACCTGCAAAGAGACCATTTGTCCTTGCATGCAGTCTGAATATGACACAAACAAACAAGAAGGACCTGATATCTAAGGTATGAAGAAGGTCCAGAGCAGCAAGCCAGATGTTCTGAGACAACATGGGGAGAATAGAATAGTTCATAGTGATCATTTGGAACCTTGTTTACCTGATATATTTGTTGAGGCCATCTAGGTCGAGGATGGGCCTTATCCCTCACTTGGATTTGGATATGAGGAATAGAAGCTATGACCCCAGTGTTCTGGGAGAACCACCTCCTCCACTCCCAAAGCCTGCAGAGAGAGGACCTTCTTGAAGAGTCCCTAAAGGAACGAGGAGGCGGGAAGAGGGACGGAAAGAGGTTAGGGGGAAACAAACGATATAACCAAATCTGACTTGGCTTAGGACCCAGCTGACCCAGGGATTGAGCCCCAAACATTGAGAAAGCAGGCCAACCTGTTCCCAAAACAGGGGAATGAGAAGGAAGGAGCAATGACTGGAACAGTATTCAGGATGACGGCGTCAAAATGGACACTTGGAAGGTTCTGGGGGAAGACGGCATCTTCTAGAAGAGTCAATATTTCATTCACACATTCAATTTGCGAGGAAAAAAATGTAATGTGATTAACTGAAGTATTCTTGGCCCACCATTTTTATTCCCTTTTCACACAGAAAGTTCATACTTATTAACACAGCCCTTGATCTATCAACCCTTTATTCACATTCTGCTTAATAACATAAGGAATCCCTTCATCTGAAAGGAACTGTTCATGTTAGTAAGAATTTGCAAGTTGGGGTCTGTAGTTTAAAATGTCTGCCTTAGGGCATGGTACTAATTCAAAGTCTATGTGTGACTGAGACCGCAAAGACCTATGTGCGTATTCTCCTATGTAATCTCTACAGGATGTACAGTAATTGGAAAAACCTACTTTCCTGCTTTCCCTTCATAATCCAAAGCATTCAGCAGCAACATCATATATATGGGTGATTTATCTAAAGTATGGTAAATTTCTATTGTTCTCTGTTTTAGGTGTTGTTTACTTACCCTGACACTTAAAATATATTTGAATAATACTAATTGCACATGGGAAGATATACCTCCAGAAACTGTTATAAATAGTTCTTTATTATCATTATTTGTAAAACCATAAAAGATTAGGGTTAGAAGAGACGTCAGTAGGTCATTTAATCCAACTCCTGGCTCATAGCAGAACCAGCTCCAACTAAATCATCCTAGCCAGGGCTTTGTCAAGTCTGGCTTTAAAAACTTCTAAAGATGGCAATTTCACCATCTCCTCTAGGCAACCCATTCCAGTGCTTCACCACACTCCAAGTGAAAGAGATTTTCCCAATATCCAATCTAGATCTCCCCCACTGTACATTAATACAATTGCTCCCTGTTCTGTCATCAGCAACCACAGAGAATAGCCTAGCTACATCCTCGCTGGAACCCCTCTTCAAGTAGTTGATGGCTGCTATCAAATCCCCCCTCGTTTTTCTCTTCTGCACACTACATAAGACTAGTTTCATCAGCTTCTCTTCATAAGTCATGTGCTCCAGTCCCCTAATCATTTTTATTGTCCTCCATTGGATTCTCTCCAATTTGTCCACATTCTTTCTGTAATGGGGGCCCCAAAACTGGCTGCAGTACTCCAACTGTAGCCTCACCAGTGCTGATTAGAGGGGAAATAATCACTATCCTCAACCTGATGGTAATGTTCCTAATAATGCAGCCTAATGTGCCCACCTAGATTTGACCGTCCCCTAATCATTTTTATTGTCCTCCATTGGATTCTCTCCAATTTGTCCACATTCTTTCTGTAATGGGGGCCCCAAAACTGGCTGCAGTACTCCAACTGTAGCCTCACCAGTGCTGATTAGAGGGGAAATAATCACTATCCTCAACCTGATGGTAATGTTCCTAATAATGCAGCCTAATGTGCCCACCTAGATTTGACCTACCAGACCAAGCAAGATCAGTGGAGCCTTTGTGACAGGCCTTTGTAACAGCCGTTTGTGCAGCTGCAGCAATAATACAGTCAATGAAGCATATTGTTGACGAGTGCCTGCTGACTAGGTTCATTGGTGGTTTACAAGAACTGCATCATGCCAGTGAAGATGCCATCTGTTGGTTAGAGGATTAGGCACTTGCTAAATAAATATGGTGTTAACCTTCTTAGCAATAAGGACACCCTGTTGATTTATATCCAATTTCTCATCCACTATAATCCCCAAGTCTTTTTCTGCAGAACTGCCATTTAGCCAGTCAGTTCCCAGCCTGCAGCTCTGAATGGGATTCTTCCATTCTAAGTGCAGGACTCTGCACTTGTCCTTGTTGAACCTTATCAGATTTATTTTGGCCCAGCCTTGTCTAAGTAACTCTGGACCCGATCCCTACCCTTCAGCATATCTACCTGTCACCCCATCTTAGTGTTATCTGCAAATGTCCTGAGGATGCAATCCAGATAATTAATAATCTGTAGTATTGCAATAGCACAGAGAGACCAGCTCCCCATTGTGCTAGGCAGCATAAAAACTTAACAAAAGAACAGCCCAAGCCAAAAAGAACTTAGGTCAGGGTCAAATTAGGAGCAAGGTTTAGAACACTCGAGTCCATAAAGAACTGCAGATCTAGTCATAGCACTGGAATTTAGTCTGGCACTGTCAAACCTGGATGCCTAAATTTAGCTCCTAAATACAAGCAGCGTGACTTTCAAAACTAATGAGCATCCCTCAATATCACTGAAATCAGTAGCAGTTAAAGGTGCTCAGTGCTACTTTTACTTAAGTGTCTTACTTTGAACATCTAGATTTGAAAATATTGGCCAATATCATGTATGTGTGGCACATTTTAAAAAACTGTTTAGTTTAAAATTACATCTATACATTCCAGGCTTTAGAGCCTTACCTAACTGCTTTGGCGTCCAAACATCACCAGCATTTGTAACAGAAGAGAACCTCCACGAAATCTAAATCGTAATTTGCCTATTGTTTTAGTATGAAGAAAACTTTGGGTTTTTTTCTACTGGTTTTCACAAGATGGTTTGTATTTCCATGAAATACAGTGTGTTTATGATACACTGAAGATTACATGTGTTCATTTCCATGAAAAGCATAAGACAAAAGGTTGATAAAATGGGTGCCTAATTCAGATAATTGTTACTTGCTTTCTTTATAGTACCTGTTTCTGTATTTACAGGCAATTGTGTCTCCTTCAGTTTTTTTCCTTTAGACTTGCTAATGGTTCTATTGAAGGGGCTTTTCTGCAAATAAAACTCGCCAATCTGTTTTATTGGTACTTCTCAATCTTGTTATTTGCTGATTCGCCAGGATTTGAATGAATGAGGCCTTCTTAACAAAAATGTTCTCTAAAAATAGTCATGTCCTGGTTACTAGCCTGAATGTATATTCACATTAGAATAATCCCAAAGCCATTTTGACACTTTGTCAGTTGGAGGAGGGTATGAGGTGGGCGATTTGGACAGGGAAGGAGGAAGAAGATGTAAAAACAAAATATAACTAATAGAAAGAGATGGTGCAATGAAAAGTGTCTCTGACACCACCAGCAGCAACAGTGGGGGTTCTGTACTCAGCATGCTCCAGTGGTTTAGTGTTTGGATTACAGCCTGGGTTCCATAAAGGGTGGAGGCTGCCTGACAATAGATGTCCTCTGCTACCACTTGGGAAAATAGTAACACCAAAGGTAAATGCTGTGTGGGATACAGGGTCACTTCAACCCCAGGTGCCTGAACAATGGGGAGACAATGGGGCAGAGAGCTGCAAACGGGTGCAGCAATACCAGAGGAAAGGGGAAGCAAGGATGTAAGACACATATAGATATATAATATGTCTATTCATCTTATATATGGGTCTGAGACTTTTAATCATTACATACTTGGCAAATGTAAAGATCTTCCGAGACACAAGTCAGCTTATGTGCAGGTACACGTGATAACCGTTCAGATTGAACTTTGAAAATACTTCTCAATTTAAGAAAATGGGTTCATGTTCACATACTTTAGTAGAGAATCCTTGTTGTCACTGATATAGGGTTAAATAAAATGGTTGTAGGGATTGTTTTGGCTAATGAGAGAACCTAGACCATGTTCTACTTTCATTTACACCAGTGAATACCCAGCAGATCTCCACAAAGTCAGCAGTGTTTATTCTAGATTTACTTTAGGACAAGAACAGAATTTGTGTGTCTGCTTTCGCAAATGCAGAGGTTTTTAACAGAAGTAATACATCCTACCACCATGTAGGATTTTAATGAGTCAGGCTTTCATTTCCTTCTGATGTAAACATGTTGTCTACAATTGTCACCATTTAAAAAATTAGCATTTCCTAGCAGATACCTCACAGTCATTACAATTGTTTCTTCTTTAGGGAAAACTGTGAAATCTGAAACTTGATACATGCTGATTTTTTTCACTGGATATTAAATCCTGGATAAAAATCAATAGTTTGTCTTCTCTCATTGTAGTTGGTCTCCAGTCAACTACTGATGCTAATGAAGCCATTGAACAAATAGATGAAGATATAGCAGTGACTCAAAGTCAGATGAACTTTTGTTGTCCTATCACACAGGTATGCTATCACTAATACTGTATCAGATAAATATTTCCCATCTTCAATTATTTAATGCATCTTGAAAGACATTCTACTCCTATTCACATTCTTATCTGAATAACATACTTGTTACCTATATATGTATATTGATTTTTAGAAACTAGATAACAGTAATTGTCAATATGATCATAATTGGGTTACGTTGCTGAAAGACAACTTCACAGAATAATGGAATAATACAGTTTATCATGTAAGGTCTGAGCCTGTATTTTGAGTAGTACAGCATATGGACCACAAGGCCATTCTGCTGCTTTAAGCAAGAGACTCTCATCTGTGGGGCTTGGAGTTTAATTATATTCTGTTGACAGAGGACAGCACTTTCTTCCTTTCTAACATATGGGGGCCTGGATAGTTGTGAAAGTTAAATTTGATTGCAAAAAAGCATGTTAAAATAGCTAGAAAGAAGGAAAAAAACAATAAATGATCTGGTAGCACTTTATAGACTAACAAAACATGTAATGGTATCATGAGCTTTCGTGGGCACAGCCCACTTCTTCAGATGACTGGAGTTATGAGTTGGGGATATGAAAACTCGAAATAAATAGGAGAGGGGAAGGGGAAGGGGGTGGGAGACAGAGCATCATTAAGTATCTGGAGAATAGGTACTTAAACCTAAGCAGATAAAAATCAGTCAATAGATTGCTAAGACAGGAAGGATACCTCTCAGAGAGCAGCTAGCACCTTCAGTGGTTATTAAGTAGGTAGAGTCCCCACCAGCCCATATCACGATTGAGTCCACTGGCATGTGAATTGAATTTGCGGATGAACTGTGATTCCAGGGCCTCCCTGTGGATCTGGCTTGTGGAGCTGATTTGTGACAAGACAGGTCTGTCATAGTCTGACAGACCTGCAAGTAGCTCTCCTATTTATTTCGAGTTTTCATATGCCCAACTCATAACTCCGGTCATCTGAAGAAGTGGGCTGTGCCCACAAAAGCTCATGATACCATCTACATGTTTTGTTAGTCTATAAAGTGCTACCAGACCATTTGTTGTTTTTTTCTGTAACAGACTAACTCAGCTACCCCCTTGAAGCTCCAGAAAGAATGAAGAGTGCTATCTACAACATGTATTCTACAAATTGGGGCTGAAGATGGTTGGGAATTTTCTGTTAGAATGATTGTTTTTCTGTTTGAAAAATGCTTTTTTTCTAATATAAAAATTTTTCATTTGGAAAATCAAAATGACAATCACCCATGCAAAAGGTCCTTGTCAATGTTATTTTCAGAGAGAAAATGAAAGTGACATAAGCTTTCAAGTCAGCAACTCACAAGCCAAATAATTTTGCATTGGTTCTCCCAAAGCAGAATTTTTCTGGAAATCCCTTCCCACTAAAAATATTCTGTGGGTTTGGGGGCTTTTTTCCCTCTTTTTGTCCTGTCTTAGCATAATTTTGTTTCAGAAATGGGATTTTATTTTCCTTTTTTTTATGAATTCGATTTCTATTTACCAGCCAACTGTAACTGGGACTGCAACTAACATCCCATGGTAGGTCTGAGAATGTATTCAAAGTCATTATTAATTCTCTTACGTACACTCACATTGATTGCAGATGGAAATGCAGAAGCCAGTTCGAAATAAAATCTGTGGCCACAACTACGAAGAAACAGCAATTCTAAAAATTATCCAGCATCGAGAACATCAAAAGAAAAAAGCACGGTAGGCTAGCAAGAGTGTGTTGGGTGGGGAGGTGGGGGTGAATGGGCTATACTTGTCTTGCTGTGTGTGGAGAATCATATAGCACTTGTTACGAGATGTATTTATGTTGGCAAGGCTAAGGGAAGTAATATTTAAATGTCTGCCCAAAATCACAGTCTCCTCATTAGCTCTGTGCACATGGAGGATAACTTTATTTTCATTTTAAAAAAAATAAGGAAATGTCCAGGAAGTCTATGGGATTTGTTACAGCCAGAAATAAAAAAGAGAAACTTTAACATCTTAAAATTGCTAGTTCATTTATTTTCTTATGATGTGTTTTAAAACTGTCAAAGTTTATGTAAGAAATAGTATAACTCCTTTGAAATGGAAGGGAAAAAATCATACTGCCATCACTTTTATAGTATATCATACTACAGTAAGAAAAAGAAACAAACACAGAAAATTTTAAAGCCCTAGGTTAAGGGAAGAATAAACTATATAGTCCCGAAAACACTTTTTAGTATAGATGATGCTGGTAGCACTGCCTATGGCTAAGGTTGCTGTCACATTCCATAATCAGACCCTATTTCCAGCTGCTTATCACTTTGCCAAAGTTAGGACATCAATTTTTCCATGCTGGATGTTTCACTCAGGCTGCTGTTGCTACTGCTGTTGTTTCAGCCATTTGAGAATGAGATCAGGGAAAATATGGGTGGGTTTGCCTGTGTTTAAAACCATATATACTCTGTCTTATGATGAAAAGCAGAGACATGATATTTGGTGGTGGGGTCACCATGGTGTCAGGGAGATGCTGCTTGGTGAAAATCAGTCTGCATTTGGCCAAGTTATAAGCCTCTGAAAAAATTGCAGTTTTGCACATGCTCAGGAGAGGTTTGTCATAGGTTGATGGCATTATTCTCCAAAGATTCTGCCTGCACTCAACATGCTTAAGCTGCACATAGCTCCTATGTAATGGCTGGATGCTTGTGCACCATCCCCACAGTGACTGGGAATGTGCCATCACAGGACTGCAAAAGCTGAGAAGGACTTCTCTGAATTGTTCTTCTTGACTTCAGGAAAGTTGGTGGTGTGCTAGCCAATCAAATGGATAGCAGAGAGAAAGCAATCTGTCTAGAATGCATATCAGTGAAGAGAGATGGGTGCTCTGGCAGTCATGAGAGACAGAAAGAACAGGCAGACAGAAGCTGGGTTAGGGAACTGGAACAGCAAGTGGGAGGTGGCAGGAAGAGCCAAGAGAGGCAGCAGCTGGATTCAAATGGTGGGAGCAAAGAAGAACAGGCTGTGGGACGGGGCAGAATTAGACATATAATCACTAGACGTGCTCCCCTCAGAACCTGGAGCTGAATAAAATAGAACCAAATCTCAACATTCCTCTCCTGGTAGTAATAGCTATGAAATCCACTGGCAAAATGCATCTCTTCCCCCTCTAAAGGATAGTCCCCATGGATGACAACAGCCCAGCTGCTCACATAGTTCAAGGCAAAGAGGTGTTTGCTGTAGATCTACAGGTTCTAATCTTGCTGATGACTCCTAGTGGGTTTTTGTTTTGTTTTGTTTGCTTTTTAAGAAACTAAGTAAATTACATAGAAACACACACCCCTACATTACAGTTGCTAAGTCAAGCACTTAGAATTTAGAAAATGTCAGTGTTCAAGTTGCACTTCTGGCATTTCCTAACATTTTGTTAAGGCAAAGTTAAAATAAAAGCTTAACATACTATTTGTATCTTACTTGTTGAGTATCAATTTACTAGTCAAAGAACTTGGCTAAAGGTTGTGGTGTGACGACTAGGGAACCCTCCTCCTCTAAGTACACTAAAAAGAGTGACCAAATTTCTAAATACCTATCTTTTTTGGCACTTCTTCTATATGTACTTGGGGTGAAAGCTTTTCTATTACAAGTATCCTCCATATTTTGCTGTATACCATTTCATGGGAGATGGGGATCTCATTTTTCCAATAACATGCGATACAGAGTCTAGTTTCTAGAATGATACATTAATTTATTTTTTATTGCTGTTTAAAATGCAGATCCTTTAGTGAAGTCTTAAGTAAGAAGGTCAGGGGATCTCTTGGAAGGCAACATTTTGTCATAAGATGAATTTTTTTAATGATTTTCTCCAAAAAACAACTAATGGTTGGACACCACAACCAGATGTTTAAGAATATTCCTCTTTTCCCACAACCCCTCCATCACAGCACCTCCCTACTAGCAAATATATGATGGATCTTAGCTGTAGTCAAATGCCATTTATATAGTAACTTATCATTTTTTCTTTATAAGCTACACAAACTGAAAATGTATATTCCCTTTCCCACAGAGACGCATAATCATCTAGGTCAGTTTCTTTGTCCAAATCCCTCAACAGCTTTTTCAATCGAAATTACATCTATCTTAGAAATTTAAACCCGTATTTCCAGCTTTCTCCTGTTTCTCCAATTCCTCAAATGTAGTGAAGGGTCTTAAGAGTTTCTTCATGTCCAGATTTCACAATAAAATGTTTTACTTGTAAATACTGCAAATACAGGACTTTTGTATTTACATGTATTACCTACTTCTTGGTAAAACTTCAGATCAGGACTCGGAGCATCTGTCCCAATTAAGTAATCTTAGTGTTTACCCACCATGAATAGTCACTTTTGTATTCCCTAGGGTAATTCCTGAAAGGAAATGCTACATTAATTAACCAACTTTTGAGTGCTTGACCTGCAGCCTTAACATTGTTTGTTGTTAGGAGTATTTTTGATATAATCATATAGTATATTAGAAGTGCCCATGACAACAATGAAAAATTAACAAAGATCAGTTAGGCACGCTACACGCAGCTCTTTAAATTCTGCATATATCTGTTTAAAGTGAGCTAAGTTGCTGTGTGATTAACATTTGTTCTGGAAGTACAGAATCTGTTTTTGAAATGCCACAACCTGCCAGGTCTATAGAAACCATTCAGTACCTCTCAAGCTCCCAGCTGGAGTAAACCATTCTCTACTGTGCTGCTATATGATTGCATTTTTCACTGTGGTTTTCCAGTGGGAGCAAACATTCTTAATGTGGCTTAAAGGCAAAACCTGGTCTTTTGGGCAAAGCCGAAGTTAATGACTTTGTAAGTAGATCAGTCTGTAGTTCAGGGAACAGAGTGAGGAATGGAATCCCCTCCCTTATCCTAACATTACAGCAATCACTGTAGTAGTCATAGTGATATAGTACTGGCTACAAGCGAACTGCATACAGGCAGTCCCCGGGTTACGTACAAGATAGGGACTATAGGTTTGTTCTCAAGTTGAATTTGTATGTAAGTCAGAACTGGCTCCAGATTCAGCTGCTGCCACTGAAACTGACCAGGGGCTGACTACAGGAAGCCGGAGGCAGAGTTGCTCTGCCCCCAGCTTCCTGGAATCAGCCTGATCAGTTTCAACAGCTGCTGAATCTGGAGTCTGGGACAGACAGCTGGGGCGCTGCCCGGTAGGTTCCCACAGGACCAACCCAGCAACCCCCCAGCTACTCTACCCGAGGCGTCCCGCAACAAAAGCCTGGTCTGCTGGGGGGAGGGGGAGCGCACTAGCTGTGCCCCCTCCCCCCCAGGAGACCAGGGAGACCCGAGCAAAGCCGCACAGGCGGAGGGACCCTGCTGCCCGTGCGGCTTTGCTCCTGTCTCCCTGGGGTTCTGGGGGGGTCCAGCGGCTTTGCTGGTCCCCGCCAGCAGACCAGGGAGACCGGGAGTGCGGATCCGACATAAGTCGGATCCGCGTAAGTCGGGACTGCCTGTACTCCTTTCCTCAGGGCCTGTGGAGCTGACTGGTGCACTTCTTAGATCAATGGTCTCCAACCTTTGTTACACACAAGATCACTTTTTGAATTTTAAGTGCAATCCAACATCTACCTCAAAACCCAAATATCCTTGCCCTGCTTCCTTTGTGCTCCTTGCCCCGCCCCTGCCCCTGCTCACTCCATCCTCCTCCCTCTCAACACTCACTTTCACCAGGCATGGGCAGAGGGTTGGGGTGCAGGCTCTGGTCTTGGATTAAAGGATTTGGTGTGGGAGAGAGGCTCTGAGCTGAGCTTGGGGCAGGCAGTTGGAGTGCCAGAGGGGGTTCTAGGTGCAGGCTCTGGGAGAGTGTTTGGATGGAGGAACAGGGCTAGGGCAGGGGTTTGGGGTGCAGGAGGGGGTTCATGATTTGGGTAGGGGTTCAGGATGTGGACTCCAGCTGGGCAGTATTTACCTCAGGTGGCTCTTGGGTGGTGACGCAGTGGGGCTAAGGCAGGCTCACCCCTGCCCTGGCCCTGCACCACTCCCAAAAGCAGCTAGCAAACTTGCTCTATCCCTAATCCTGTTGTGCCCCCTCTCTGCTCTGTGGAGATAGGATCAGGATGGGAGAAGGGGGCACCTTGATATCAGCACCCTCCTCTCCCCTCCCTGCCCTGCACAGCAAGCAGGAGGCTCCTGGGAGAACAGCTCCAAGGCAAAGGGCCAGAGATGTGCAGCAGTGGGAGGAGGAGCAGCTGAAGTGCTGGCACTTGATAGCCACGTGGCCAACCAATAAGGATCACCTGTCAGAAGCGCCAAGATCTACCAATAGATCCCTATCTACTGGTTGGTGACCACTGTCTTAGACCATTGGCTGTGTCTCAGCCATTAACGTAACCTGCCCAAAGCCTCCACCTTCAGTGCTCCCAGAAAGAAACTTGCTGTGCAGCTTGGCTCCACTGCATCTTAAGGGATTGCTGCATACTGCTGTGTGGCTTTCCCAACACCGTGAACTGTGCCTTTCACAGCCTGGGAGGATTTCATACATTGGTCACAGTAGTACTAATACTTACAGGAAGTGTTTTATATGATCCTCTCAAGACACTTGACAAACACTAATTAAGTCTTGCAACACTTATATCAGACAGATAATTATTATTCTAACTAGTTTATAGATTGAAAATCTGAGGCACAGGGTGATTAAGTGATTTGCCCAAGGCAGACACAGCAAGTCACTGACAAAGCCTGAAATAGAAACGACGAGAGCTGATTATATTCCCAGTACTGGAGAAAATTCCTTCCCAAAGAGAAAGAAAGGTTCCAAAGTAAGTGAATCCTAAAATGTTTTAACTGTGGGCATTATCCATATACATCTGGCACTGCTAGCAAGGGAAAAAATATACCCCATCCCTGAATATCTTTCACTGTAAAAGTAAAAGCATAGAACTATAGAAGATTAGGGTTGGAAGAGACCACAAGAGGTCATCTAGTCTTACCCCAACTAAATCAAAGGAGCTCAAAGCAAGACCAATCCCAACAAAATCATTCCAGACAGGGCTTCATCAAATATGGATTTAAAAACCACCAAGGATGGAGATTCTACCATGTCCTTAGAAAATCCATTCCAGAGCTTCACCACTCTCTTAGTGAAATACTTTTTTCCTAATAATATCCAATGTAGACTTCTATTACTGCAACTTGAGACCATTGCTTCTTGTTCTGTCATCAGCCACCACTGAGAATCGCTTGGGTCCATCCTCTATGAAACCTACCTTCAGAGAGTAGAAAGCTGTTATCATATCCTCCCTCCTTATTCTGTTTTGCAGACTAAATAAGCCCAGTTCCCTCAGCCTCTCCTCATAAGTCATGTGCCAGTGCCTTTTAATCATTTTTGTTGCCCTCCGCTGGACCCTCCCCAATTTGTCCACATCCTTTCTGTACTGAGGAGTCCAAAACTAGAATGGAATAATCACTTCCCTTGATCTGCTGGCAGTGCTCCTACTAATGCTATGACCTTACCTGGCTAACTGCAGCCAAATATAAAACTTTGTATTTGTTCTACTTTTACAGATGACTAATATGACACGCATCTCTCTCCCCTCTGTTCTTGTAAGGACTCGTCACTTTTTATAACCCTAGTCTTTCCCCTGACTCACTTTGTATCTCTGGGCAAGTCACTTAACCTCTTTAATCTGTTTCTCTATCTATATAATGATAATTTATTCACCACAGATTGGTGGGGTAAAGGGAGAATACAGTGCTTTGAAGATTTAAAGCAATATACAAAGATCACAATAGGTAACTATTATTAGTAACAGAGGCAACTCCTGTTGGATTTAAAACACTGATCAACAGGTGAAAGTCTCTATATCTCATTACACTTGTTCCCTTGAGATATCAACTCCCACCTATTAAAATAATTAGACCTTTTTTTTTCCAACAGAGATTTAATATCCAGCAAGGAAAAGCTGCAACAAGTTATTGACAAAGATAGTCTAGGGGCGGAAGAAGGGAACACAAAATTAAACAGCAAATGCTACATTCATATGACAAATATAATTCTTCTGATTTATTTATTTCTTTCTTTTTAACAGCTGCCCTAAAATTGGCTGTAGCCATTTAGATGTAAAGAGATCAGATCTTGAACCAGATGAAGCACTTAAAAGAGCGATTGAAAGTCAGAATAAACAAAGCCGAACAGTGCACTAGAAGTGAATTGGACACGGTGTTACCACAAAGAAAACATGTTATTGGAGGCTTTGTGAGATAAGCTGCTGATTTGTAAGCAGGTTGTGTAACTTATTGTTATTAAGTGTTTCATTTGAAGGCAAAGTTGATGGTGTCAGCTATAACTGAAAGCATTTGTACAGACTGCCAAGTGGAAAGCATTCCAGTTTAACTTTATTTTTTTCTCTGCACCTCAAAAATGTTGCATTTTAACAATAAAATGTATTTGCAAACAGTAAACTTCTTTGTCAGCAGTGTGCTCATTTTCAGAGCATTCTGAAGTTGTCAATTTAGATCCAAACCTGCAAATATGTGTTATGGGGTGCACTGTTTCTTATTGTGAGCCATCCCACTGAGAAGTCTCTACAGTCTGTGGGCCTACACGTGGTAGAAGGCACTGTGGCCAAGATTTTCAAAGGGACATGTTGTGGGGTGACTCTATTTTTGGATGCCCAATCTAGGATATCTTGATGGAGGCTGATTTTTGGAAAGTGCTGAGCATCTGGATCTCATGTTTGGGAATGCAAAATCATCAGTCACTTTTGAAAATCTTGGTCTATGCCTATAATTAATCACAGGTCCTGGCCCTTAACCAGGCTGTTCTTCATATTTTCAAAATCTTTTATTTCACTCTCTGTATTTGGAATTCCCAAGGGGAATTCACATTAGTATTTCAGGTGAGAAGATTGGCTTAGTTATGAATAGCTTTAGTTCATTAACCTTAAGTATAATAACAATAGAAATATTACAGGTTACCTGCATAATTTGAATTGTAAAGACTACATAATGTAATAATAACAAGTTTCATACATGCATGCATGAAGTTACTGTTGCTATAAGCTTTACTTTATTAGACTTTTATTAACCCAAATTATACTTAAGAGTACAGGCCACATTAAAATAAACATGCACTTTTGTAATTGATAAATGTTAATTTGTAAATTGAATTCAGATGTAAAAATGGGAGGTGACAAGTACTACACTTACTTAGCCCTGAAGGCTCTCAAAGTGCTTAACAGAAATAAACTGAGCAATCTTCCGAATGCATCTGTGAAATTAGCACTAGTATCTAAATTTTCAAAACTGACTAATGATTCTGAATGCTTCAGTTTTGGGTGTCCAACTAGAAACATCTTAAACAGACTAAGCTTTCAGAGCTTAAGTGGTTAGTAAATTCTGAAAATCAGGCACATTTTAAGATGCCTTGTGTTGGGCGTTCAAAATCCCTGTTCCCTTTGAAAACGCAAGCCTTTACATAGAATCGTAGGATTGGAAGGGACCTTGTGAAGATATCTAGTCTAATCCCCTGCACTCATGGCAGAACTAAGCATTATCTAGACCGGGGTCATCAACCTTTCCAAAGTGGCATGCCGAGATTTAACCCTCCTGCCCTGGGCCTTGCCGCTCTCCCGAGGTGCGGGGGGAGAAGGGGCCCTTTCCACTGCCCATCCTGTGGACCACCTCAGTCAATGCAAACCTTTCCATGAACTACCAGTTGCTAATGGAAAATCACTGTTAATTGCATAATAACACTCAAGCCATTTTGCTAGTGCTGCAGCCAGGGAGAATTATTTAATTTAAATTGTTAAACAGATTAAGCATTTTAATTTTCTCATAACAGTTTATCAAATTTTATGTGAAATAAAAATATTATGCCCAATGCAAAAGGTTTCAATGTTTTCTTCATTGCAGGGGTGGGGAATGACCCACAGAAAAATCCGTTGGGGACCACACAAGTGAGAAGCAAAAAAACTCCTCCAAAACCACTCAACCCTCACGGATGTGGCCCCCAACTGAGACACCTCATTATTCTGGCACTCCAGCCCCATGATGTGAGGGGAAGGGACAGTGAGGACTGAGGTTCAGGGCTTCCGGGCCAGGTTTACTCTTCTGGGGTTCCAGTGTTAGTGGATTTTGTGGACCCCCTTGGGCTCTGGGGTATAAACAAAAATGAGGGGGTTCAATGTGTGGGACAGGACTGCCAATGAGTGGGTTAGGAATGCAGGATCTGGGTGGAGGAGAGGGTGCAGGATGGGGTGAGAAGGACATGGTCTGGAAGGGAATTTGGCGGCAGGAGAGGATGTGGGGTAGGGGTACGAGAGGGAGTTTGGGGGCAGGAGGAGGTTGGGGGAGTAATGCAGAAAAGGTAGGGTGAGAATGCAGCCAAATAGCTAGGAGGGCAGGGAGGCAAAGAAGTGGGGAGTAAAGGAAAGTGCAGCTTCTGCAAAATAAAAATTGTATCCTTCTTCACATCTTCCCCTGCTCCAGCCTTGCTCCTCTCAGCCCCATGATACCTCCCAGCCTGATCCCCTGCATCGCCCCATGCCCCTCAGTGCAGCCCCTGGACCCTTCCATCCTCCCCCCTCCCTCCACCCTCACATCCTCCTTCACCGCAGGGCAAGGTGGGGGGAGGGAAAGGGGAACAGAGTCTCTTCCCTGCCCAGCCCAGCCATTTGCCTGCAGGCTACAGCTCTGGGGCAGGGGTGGGCAGAGCCTGGGGCTGTCCAGGATTTGCTCCAGCCCAGCCGGGGGCAGAGGAGTGCTGGGGAAGGGGCTTCCTGCCCCTGTGCACAGCCCACGGGGAGCAGCGTGGTGCACCCCAGGCCCCGGCGCACCACGTGTGACTGGCTGCCCAGCCAAACAGGCCCAGCCCCGCCCTTTCCCAAAGCTGGAAGCAAAGCTTGTAGTGCAAGGGTGAGGGGGGGGCAGGATTGATCCCTTGGCTCCCAGGAGCTGCACGTCCTGGCTGGGAAGGGGCGTCCCCAGGGATGCGTGTGCACCTCTCCCGCCCCGCAGCCCCAGCAGGAAGCCGAAGTTGTTGCTCCAGCCTGCAGCTTCACAACTGAGGCTAGAGCTGCGGCACGAGCTCCCCAAGTGGAGGAGGGCGGGGGGCTTAGCTCCCACCCCGCACGCCAGTAAAAGCTGGCTCTCATGCTGGAGGTTGCCGATCACTGATCTAGACCATTCCATCAGAGGTTAAGCAGCACAATTTTTCTCCTTTTTCCTTGTAACAACTTTTTTTTTTTTTTTGTAAACTTGGGGAAAGTGATACAGTTAAGGGCTACCTACAATGCTTCAGCTACAGTTTTATTTTGAAAAACGTGGGGAAGAAGATGTCCTGAATTGCCCTACATTTTTCACCTACAAGTCTGCTGAGATTTACTCCCACACTTTTAAATAAAACCCCAGAACTGGAGACTTAGAAACAAATGGCTAGCAATTTTTGATTGAGCTGTACTAATACTGCACTTCCCTGGGGCTTAATCAGGCCTCTGTGGGTAAGTCTACCCAGCAATGGGTCAGCTGCCTCCGTCTGTGGGACTGTAAATTACTGTGTAGATGTTTGAATTTAGGTGGGAGCCTAAGCTCTGGGACCCTGCAAAGAAGAGAAGCGGGGGGTCACAGAGACCAGGCAGCTTGAGCCTGAATATCTACTCAACAATTTTTATTCCTGCAATCTGAGCTCTGTGAGCCCAAGTCAACTGATCTGTGTCAGCTACATCAGAGTGATGGCATTTTTATTCCAGTGTAGATGTGCTCCGTCGTATGTCTGCACTATGAAAAAAATCCTGAGGCCACAAATCTCAGAGCCCAACTGAGTCTCAACTGACTCAGGATCTCACTACAGGGCTATAAGTAGCAATGCAGATGATCCTACTAGGACAGGCTATGAAACCCAGCAAGGCGGAGATCTTAGAGACTAGAATGACTCCCCTGCTCACCATAGCCCTGTAGCGCAATCTCTACGAGCCCGTCAGTTGACCTGGGCTCTGAGACTCACTGCCGTGGTTTTTTGCAGTGTAAATGTACCCTGTGTTTTCAGCTGCAAAACGGTGGCACCAGTCATTTTGATCACTAAGATCTCAGGGTGATGGAATGTGTCTGCAAATGAGGGGTTGTGGTATATACGAGAGAAATACAAGAGAAAGATTGTACATGGAGTGATCTATACCTGCAAAACGCAGAACAGCTGCTGGACTGAACTTGCCTGATTGTGCTCTGCAGTATGATCCAGCTTCCCATATTAATAGTCTCAGAGAGCTATATGTGGGTACTTCTGGAGTTCATTATCCTTGCATTCCTATGAGTGATGCTACCCTCAGATATGTGGGCAGAGTGATTGCTCTCTTGCCTATGTTTGTTAACCAAGTTTTAAGAGTTGGGTTTGATCCTGAGATCAAGTGGGAGGATTTTAACCGGAGCGGCAAGTGCTCTGCTTATCTCTGAATCAGACACTTTACACATATATTCCTAGTCTCTAGTATTTAACGTGCCAGGATAAGGCAGTAAAGATATGAGAAATACCAAGTAAACCTGAAGTGCAATATTATAAGGAAAAGGAAAGCAAGTAGGTCAGCACCCATTTCACTTATGCAAGAAGTGGAAAGTATTCTTTGAATGTTCACATTCCTGTCTCTCAGTAAATGATTTTCCTTCCTTTCTTCCCTAGCTTGGGTTAGGCAATGTCTGTGAAGTCATGAAACTTGAATAGCAAGTACAGCCTATAAACTCTGAAATCTTTTTGCTCTTTGAAGGAAAGAAATGTAACAGTCTGGCAGAAGATACCTGCCTTAGTTTAATAGCAATTGCTTATGATGTCTGAAGCAGTATTTGTATTTAAACTGAGGTTGATTTCTTTGATAATCAAAGAGATCTTTTTGAGAGTGTTCAGGACTCTCCCTATAAAACCAGGACTTAAATAATTAGAAAATCTTTCCAGATACATTAAAGTATTTGTGACAATACTCATTAAATCAATGCCATAGAAATTACTGATATATATTACATATGATGTTTGGTGGCCTAAAGCAGATTTACTGCATTGATTGCAGTCCT